TGCCTCACGCGGCCCTGTGTGTCCACTGTGAATCCCCTGTGTATCCCACTGTGCCTCTGATGGACACCTTACTTCCTGGGGCTGGTCACACAGTGTCCCCAATCACTCCTGCCAGGGCAGTGCTGAACCCCAAATAGATCTAGCTGAGTGGGTCTGCTGTCCCCACTCTGCGCCTGCCTGCCCCTGGGGCCGCTGTGAGGCTGTGAGGCTGGGCTTGGGCCCCTTCAGTGAGGATGCACTGTCCTCAGCCCCAGCCACAGGAACTGTCTGCCCAAGCTTATGTCCTTCCCAGGATGGGCCCAGTGAGGTCCAAGGGCCTGAATGCTTCGGTCAGCACAGGGTGGCGCTCTGGCTGGGCGTTCTCCCCTGGCCTGCTGCCTCTGTGCCCTCCCTCCCAAGGTAAGTCCTGAGGGCACTGGGGCAGTCCTCCAGCCTCGGTCCCAGCTCAGCTGCAGCTCAGAAGCGGCTTTTCCAGCTTTTCAAGAGCTTCATGGATGCCTTCATGGGAGGGCAGCAGCAGCTCTGTGACTCCAGCCAGGGCCTTTCCAGAGGGAGGGGTGGATGGCAGGAGGGGTTGTGGGCTCCAGACTGAACCCCACAATCCTGACACTCACACTAGAGGCCTCAGGATGCCCGTGGGGGCTTCTGCAGGGAAGCACGAGGCGGGGATGCAGCTTGAGACCCTCCCACCCTGGCTGCTCTTTATTTAATTAATTACTTTTTGGTACTGAGAATGGAACCCAGGGGTACTCTACCACCGAGCTACATCCCTGTCCTTTTTAATTTCTGTTTTGAGACAAGGTCTCCCTGCATTGCTGAGACTAGATCTCCCTAAGTCGCTGAGACTGGCCTTGAGCTTGGGATCCTCCTGCCTCAGCCTCCTGAGTCACCGGGATGATAGGCATGTGCCACGGCACCCAATTATCCTCCCCTGTCTTTTTATGCTTTTCATGGTCCAGACTACCATGCCTTGCCTATATATGTATGTATTTTATTTATTTCTATGTGGTGCTGAGGATCGAACCCAGTGCCTCACACCTGTTGGCGAGTCCTCTACCACTGAGCCCCAACCCGCCCCCACGCCTTGCCTTTTAAGCTGCTGAAGAATGGTTTGTTTTTTTGTTTTTTAAGTTTAGAAAATACTCAGGGGAGGGCAGCCTAGGACTGTGGCAGGTGTGGATTTGTGGCTACCCTGTTCTCCCCTTCCCAGGAAGTCACTAGTCTCTCGGAGGGCTGTAGGCCAACCCTGAGGAACTGGGGATGCCATTTTTGTCCCATGCAGGAGAGGACGCATGGCATTTTCCCAGGAAATACAATGCCAGTTGAGTTGAGCTGGAGATGCCAGGGCTGCCTCCACAGGCTGACACTAAAGCCATGGCTCTCCCTCCTCCTCTGCCCAGAGCAGAGGTCCTGCACGTGAGGACCATAAGTAATGGCACTGTGGGCAAGAAGGGTCTGGCTGGTCTCAGCACCTCTTTCCTCCCTCCTGCCCAGGAAGTAAGCGTGGTCTTTGAGTCCAGAAGGAGCCAGATGGAGAAAGCACTTTAGGATTCATGGGGAGAGAGTGGCCCTGGGCCAGGGAGGCGGCGGACAGACTGAAAGGTGGGTTGCGTGCGTGGGAAGGACAGGGCTGGTGTGGTTCCCAGGGAGAGCCAAGGCAAGCACTCCACGAGGGGCTCAGGCTTAAAGGGAGACAGCACTGGCTCAGAGGGCTGAGGGGCCACAGGAGGCGCCTGGTCCAAGAGCATCATGGATGCCTTCATTGGAGGGCCTGGTCAGTGGGCACCCGGGTCTCTGGAATTTTCCCCACCAGGACTGGTGCAGGATCCTGGGAGTAAGAGAGAGCCTGTTCTGATGGAGCTGGAATAGCTTAGCAAAGCCACAGGAGCTCAGGGCAGATTACATTCCACTGAGGAAATTTTAAGAGTGACCTTTCTTCTACTCCAAGTCACAGAGTAAAGGTAAATATGCTATGTTCTGAGATGTGCCCAACAAAACCCATAGACCAACGCCCTAGGCCCCAAGGCTTTTAGCAAACAACTAAGGTAAAATGAGGTCATAAGAGTGGGGTCTGATCCCATTGGATTAGTCCCTTCTGAGAGACACCAGAGAGCTCATTTTTTTCTGCCATGTGAGGAGGCAGCTACCTGCAAGCCACGAAGAGAACCTTCACCAGAATCAGAACCATGCGAGACCTTGAATCTAGAACTCCAGTGCAAATTTTTAAACAATTGCTATTTAAACCAACCTGTCTGCAGTATTTGTTATGGCAACCCCACGCAGACTAAGCCACCACATCTGCTATATATGGGTTTTTTTTTTTTGTAGTGTGAAATATTAACAGTTTCCAGCTCTATTAACTATTAAGTTTCATCCACATTCTGTCCAGGTGACTTAAACCTCCCAGACTCTGGAGTCAAAGCCTCTTTAATACTCAAGGAATGATGGTGACTTGCTGTCCGATCTCCATGCAGGAAGTCCGGTTTTCTGCTCAGTTCCCTTACCCAAGTATTCCTAGGTCCCCTGCCCAGGAGGTGCGGGCAAGTCCCTCAGGTGCCTCTGGTTCGGCATCTGCACCACGCACTACTCTGCAGCGCACACCTGATTCCCTTTGGTGAGACCTGAGCCCCAGGTGCCACTTGAAGATTTAGGAAAAGGAGAGCAGAGCTTGTTTCGGTGTGGGAGATGGCCATGGCCAGAGTCCAGTGGCCCCAACTTCTGGCCCATGTTGGGGGTAGTCTCCCCACCTACCAGGTGCTACAGGAGTCACTCCCCCCCCCACACACACACTCCCTACCCTAAGGCCAGTCCTCTGGAGCTATCCTTAACCATCTCAGGCCCACTGCCTTGAGGCCCCTCCACAGCCCTTCAGGAACCCCACCTTGGCCCTGGGCCTACTCCAGGGTCACTGGGTAGTCATTAGTTAATTAATTAATTTAAATTAATTAATTTATTTTTATTTGTCTATTTATTTATCTTTCAGTGCTGGGAATCAAACCCAGGGTCTCAGGGATGCCAGGCAAACTCAATAGTTTCTCTGTGCCTGGGTCAGTGTGTCTGAAATGTTCTGTGAGAATCAGCTCTTTGGGTCACTTGCATTTAGCCAGGTCCGGTCCAGCTCCTACATTTCTTTCCTAATTTTTTTTATCATTCTGATTTCAGTCTTTCACAAGACACCACCCGGATGGGAAACATGCCTGAGTGTGTTCCTGCACCTCATCTGCACAGATGTAGGGTCCAATGCTGTCCTTAGAAAAGAGGGGCTTCCCGCAGATCACCCTAAATAACCTTTGCATGACTGCTATGCCCTGCAGAGACGTGGTTCCCCCCTGCAGGGGTGTTTGGGTTGCACTCACTCAGGTGACAGCCCCAGAACAAAGGCACTGCCTAAGACCTCAAAGACCAGCTCAGGGCTCCCTCCTCCTCCAAGGTGACTTTGAAGTGACGGTGCTTCTGATCTCTGAGACTTCAAAGTGGAAAGACTCAGGTGAAGGCACTGTGCAGGCTCCTGGCTGGAGAGAACCTGGGCTGAACTAGAAACAGGGACAAGGGCCACGCTGTATCCCTGGGCTCCGGCTCCCAGGCCCCCCTCCTCTGCTCTAAAGTCTCCTCTCCCTCAAATGCCCATGATGGTTTGAACCAGGCTCATCAGAGTTCAGGGCTGGTGGGAAAGTGAGAAATGCTGTGGTGGCAATTTTAAGGGTGCAACCCCCTCCCCCCCAAAAACGTACCAACCTTTGCACATCTTTGAGTCCCCTCTTCTCAGAGTGAGGTTCTTCACAGTGGCCTCAGCCAGCCTCTCTGGGGCCCTGGAAGGCCACTGTCCACAACACAGCCAGCTCTCTGGGGTGAGGGGAGGGCCATGCGGCAGGTGCAGTTGTCTCTGTCCCTGCCTGGTAATTTGTCACACCTGCATGTGCAGCTTGCCTGTTTAGTTCTCACTGATCCATTAATCAAAACTTTTTGATCCCTTTGAGTCTCTAGAGTTACCTGCCAGATCTCATTTTGAGCCTTTTTGCAATTACTTTCTTTCTTTCTTTTCTTTATTTGCTGGGCTGAGGATTAAACACAAGTTCTCACTCATACTAGGCAAGGGCTCCTCCACTGAGCTACACTCTCAGCCCCACAAATGCTGTTCCTTTGTGACAACTTGTTACCAGGGTGCTACCAAGGGAGACTCTCACATGTGGATGCTCTTTGTATCCCAGACAAGCTGCATTCCATCAATATGGTGACTTTCAGCTTCATGGGGCCTTGAGAGGTGATTCAAGAGAGACAGAGTTGACTAACTCAGCTTGTGGACTGGCTTTCTTCCCTGGGGCCAAGAGGAATCATTGCCCCAAGGACACGACACCCACGTGAGGTGGCTCCCAGGCTAACGAGCAAGGATGTCCCCGGTCAGTCCTCAGCACTCAGGCCAGGCTGGGCTGTGCTCGGGACTGTGGGGAACTCAGGAGAAAGAGGTGGCCCAGGCCAGAGCCCAGCAGGTCACTGGCCAGGAGTTCTCTGCAAGTGAGCTGTGTTTCCATGTGGATGACTAGAGAAGAGAGGGTCCCAATGGAGGACACATGGAGACTGGCCCTGTGTCTGTTGCCCCACAGTGACCAGCAGGCCTCTTGTGCTGGGAGTCCCATGTATGCAGAAGTTCTAGGACCTGTGGAAGCAGCTTCGGTGTCATGGCAATGGTACAAGATGGGAGCCAGGGTAGGGTGGGCGGTGGCCGGTGTGTGGGTCTGTGCAGGCCACTTGCTAACACAGAGAACCAGGTATCCGAATGGTTCCAGGGAGCTGCCACCAACCCCCACAGATTTGCGTTCCAGGCCACTTGGGACAGGCCTGGCTGTGCTGCTGAGGCAGGCCTGAGGGCCGGCTCCCTGCAGTGTCAGAGCTGGTATCCAGTGGCCACTGAAGGGACCGAGATTGATGGGTCCCCTGGCAGGAGCTATCAAGGGCCAGCTCTTCCATGGAGCCAGAAAGTGTAGTCCAAGACAAGATCACACTGCATTGTACAAATCTATTTATTTGGCAAATCAGATTAATGAAATCATTTTTCCAATTAATTGTGCTGGTTTCACAAATGTACATATAGCAGGTATGTCTCAGGTGTTTCCAGGTGAGGAGTACTAACAAGGTCATGTTCACGGCCAAACACCACCCTTGAGCCCCACTGACTCTAGTAGCAGGAATCTCAGCCTTTCCCACAACGGAGTGCTGGGTTCTCCGACTCCCTGCTCCCCTGAGCCTAACCCTGACCCTAATGCTGTCCCATCACCCCTTCTGTGCTATTGGCCAGTGCTGATGTGGGCCAAGAGGACGGTGGCTACCTGGGCCCAGAGTATGGACTCTCCTGCAGAGCAGGCAGCCTCACACTGTAGCACTGGACCTGGGCCCAACCCACAGCCCCTTGGCCAGGATGAGTCCCCTCTGGGAGAGGGAGGAGGCCCTCTCTGCCCCCCACAGTTTGGGGATGGGTTAGCGGGTCTTAAGGCCTACCTACTGTCCAGGGTCATAACCACCTGAATCTGCCGGACCACTCCAAGGACCTGCCCCTACATCATTAGACCCTGCCATTTTGATGATTCTCCTTTCAGAGGTGGCCAGTCCCCCCTGTCATGGACAGAGCCATGCTACAACACAGGATTCTAGGTTTGAACTTCAATAGGGACTTTGGGGGGATGGTCAGGGACTTTTCTCCTGGGAAGCCAGTCTGGCTTTAAGCACAATGGTAGGCACGGTGCCCAAGAAAGCTACCACCAGCCCCACCGTGGGGTTCCCAGCTCCTGTGCAAATGCCCTGCTGTGCATGACAACCTGGCTCTCTCACTCTGTCCACAATGGCCATGGGACGTGCAGCCCTCAGGCAGGGAGAGGAAGGAGTGGCCAGGGCTTGGGCCAGCTGGGTGGGGCTCAGCCTCACCCTGGGTCTGCAGAGCCCTGGCTGTGGCTGCCGTTCCTCTGTCCCTGGGGACACAGCACCTCCACTCCTGGCTGCACCTTCCTGACACTCACTTCCTCACCTTTCTCTCCAGCCGCCCAGGAGGAGGCTCCGGGGAAAGCCACCAGAACACTGCCACAGTTGTTGCTGTGCGAGGCTCCTGCCCCTCGGTGGCTCTCAGTCGAGTGGGGGACACAGACTCTCAGGCAGGAAGTGGCTCTGCCCTCAACTCTTCCTGCCCCCCCAGCCCTGCCCACCCCTCTCCCCTCCATGGCTTCAAGTCTGGGCTAACCCTCAACTCCTGGCCTCCTCTGCCTCCTTCTCTTCCTCCTTCTCTTCCTCCTCGGCTTCCTCCTCCTCAGTAGGCAGGTCCCAGGTTTACCCAAGTCACCCTCATCTCCCATCCCCCTTCCATAGGGCCACCCTCTCCCAGGCCCTCCACCCCCTCTTGGCAGCCAAAGCCACCATCCTCCATCCTCCATGTTGGCCGTGGCTGCTTCTCTCCCTAAGACCGACTCCTTGTTCACACTAAGTCTCATGGATTTCTTCTCATCCCACTCCTTCCGTCTTGCAAAACCACCCCACAATTTATCCTTCTAATCATTTCACTCCCTGGAACAGCTGAGTCATCGGAAGGCGCTCAGCTGTCACTGTGTGCTCCTCCAGAGCCTTGGAGAAGCAGACAGAGGGATCTAGACGTGGTTCAGTTGTTTCCAGTCACCCCCAGGAACTGCCAGCAGGGCCCTTGCTGTCCCTCTCCAGGCCTGGTCCTTGTGCCTGTGGGCGGAGATGGGTCCCCATCCCTGCCTCATTCACTTTGTTCCTTCCAGCCAACAGAGGGGACAGCTCTCTGGACAGTCCTGCCGCCCAGCCAAGACCCAGGTGAGCAAGACAAATGCCTCCTCATTCTGCTGTGGCTGAACCGGCTGAGTCTGACCTTTCTCCCAGTCTAAGGAAACAAGGCCTGATGAACAACTCCCCATGTTTCCATCGGAGACAGAAAGCTTGTTACGTTCATGGCTCTCTCCGTCTCTTCGCCCTAGAAGAGTGCTAACACTCCCTGTGGTGGACACCCCAGTGGCCATGGGAGAGGGGCTGTCCACTTACAGCCCGGGGCCTGTCTCCTCCCTTCCCCAAGTGTATTCTGTCCCCTCGGGGTTTTCAGGTCTCACTGATGCTTTTCCACTTTGTCCTCACTGTCTCCAGAGGTGCCCACCACTTCCTCCTGACCTGGCTCAGCAGCCCCTGGTCCTCTGCAGCCTTCTCCTGGGCACAGGGAGGTCTGGCTGGCCTCCTGTGCTCTCCTAAGGCCTGAGGAAGCAGTGCTATGCACCACACCTGCCCAGCCCAGTCTCCCCTGCTGTCATCATCCCTGTGGTCAGGGCCAGCAGCGTTCCCGAAGGGACTGGAAAGTGCGAGTACGCTCCACTGCGGGTCCTCCAACCGAAAAGGGCTTGATGCTCCCTACTACTCCCTCTCTGCTCAAGTCACCTTCCACCATCGCCCTTCATTGCCTCCCTAACTCCTCTTGCCTCTTCTTTCTTCCCTTCTAGAATCTTCTAGTTGAATAGAAGGATGAGAGAGTTGAGAAAAAGTGTTGTTTTTTTTCAGATGCATTCTGTTCAATTCTTCTGCCTCATGCTATTTGATCGTAGAATGAAAAATTCACCTAGTGCTTAGGTTCTTCATCATATGGGGTGATGTCCATCAAGCCATCTGGACATGAGGGGGTATGAAAAGCAAATAAGGTATCCAATGAGCATCAAAGGGGAAGCACACCAATTGGAAAGGGATGTCCCTTACAAGAATTAGGCACTGGGATTTCTTTCCTTAGAGCTAGGTTGCCTTCCCTTAGCCCCTGGTAATCATGGTGTCCTGGCGGACCAGCTGGACCCTAGAAGGCCGGTGGGCCATGATGTTCGTGCGGAATTCTTTGATGACAAAATAGTAACAGAAAACGTCAAGGCAGCAGTTGACGTTGGAGAAACACATGGACAGTTGCAAGAACAAGCTGATTCTCTGCTTGGCTCTGCACTCCGTGATGAAGCCATTCCTCACCAGGAACTGCAGGAAGAAGCTCAGGTGGACTGGGAGGAAGGAGACCACAAAGACTGCCAGGCTGGCCGCAATGGTCCAGATGCAGGCTCTCTGCTGGACCCAGTCCTGGGTGTGGCCCCTGCGAGCGAGCAGAATGTGGATGCTCCTGGAGGAGCAGAAACACATGATGACCATGGGAAGGAGGAAGCCGAACACCTCGAGGGGAAAGAAGACCCTGGCACTCCAGGTACCGTCCGACATGTTGTGGAAACACGTGAACTTATCCACTTTCCCATGGAAGTTGTAGATGGGGATGCTCCCGGTCCACACCAGGACCCAGATGGCACAGCAGATCCCAAACGTCTTCCTGGGGGACCGGAGGTGGCTGACCAGGAGCGGGTACTGGATGGCCAGGAACCTGTCCAGGCTGATGAAGCAGATGGTGAAGACGCTTCCGTACATGCTGACAAAGTAGAGGCATTCCACCAGCGTGCAGGAGGCCGAGGAGGGCAGGTGCACGTCCGACAGGACCAACTTGAAGGGGAGCGAGAGCACCAGCAGCAGGTCAAAGACGGCCAGGTTGATCATGTAGATGGAGGTGGCCCTGTAGTCTGGCCACCTCTTCTTCAGGAAGGTGCTGAAGCCGCGGATGGCCAGCAGGTTGAGGAGCAGGCCCAGGAGGAAGGTGGGGACGTGGACCACCAGCTGCAGGGTCTTCATCAGCTTGTCCACGTCATTGAAGGAGCAGTTCTCGCTTGCGTGCAGCCAGCTCATGTTCTTGCCTGCAACACCAAGGGCAGGTTAGATGGTGCTGTCACTCTCTTGAGTGAGGGACTCGAAGGACTTGGTGGAAAAGAATAAATATTTCCTTTGGATCGTGCAGCAATCCATGTTCCTCGAGTCACAATCAGAAAACACTGAAGAGAAAGAGACTTCTAATCCCCCTGCCCCAGAAAAAGCCACGGTTACTTTTTCATTCAGATGGCATTAGATCGACTTAGAATGGAGTTACGTCCCAATAAACTCATCAGGAGGGTAAAATGCCTTTAAATGCCTGATCACCAAACACGGCAGTGCAGCCTATCCTGCCTTGAATGTGCTAAGAACACTTCCATTAGCCTGACATTGGCAAAAGTCATCTAACACCAAGCCTTTACTTTACAATAAATTGTTTAATATCTTATTCAATACAAACCCTGACCCAAAATGGTTTAAGCAGAGAGAAAATTTCACATAATGGAAAAACGCGAAAACTAGGGTAGGGTTATATTCAGGTACAGCTGGATCAAGGATTCGAATGCTGCCTCCAGGACTCAGCTCCTCTCTACACGTTGTCCCCCGTGCCCTCCCACTCACTGTGACTTCACCTCTGGCTGTAGGAATACTCTCAGTCAGCATATCACAGTCTTCCAGACACAGGAATTATTCTGTCACTGGTTCAGGGACAAATGTTTGACCCACTCAGAGGCAATGAAAAGCAATACAACTCTTGCTTGGGTTTCTTTCTGCAGGATTAGAAGTTGGGAAGATGCAAAGTCCAGAGCTGCCTCAGCCTCTTGCTACCCCAAAGAGAAAACCAGACAGAAAATGGAGAAACATGGAAGAAAGGATGTCCCCAGAGGGAATGAAGTGGGGGCCTGCAGTCTCTATGGGGCAAGGAAAGGCCTTTAGAGAGGTTGAAGATCAGGAGAAGGGAACCGAGGCTGTAGGGGTGGTGATACAGGGACGTGGTCTGAGGCAGGAGGAGGGCAAATAGCAGAGGGAGCATTCTCTTGCAGTTTCATAGTATCAATAACTGAGCAATAAATAAGCCTGGCCACTTTGGGAGAGCGTGGGGTGTGCCATTGTGGGTGTCAATACCAAGGCAGGTGGCCCTGGACCACATCACAACCTGATGTTCGACCCCAGTATCCAGAATCAGTGCTGCTGGGGAGAAAATTCAAATATGACCCCATCCTGCCACCACCACCTCCCTGCCACCTCTGCCCTCCTCCCTCCACCTCCCCCCAAGTAAAGCCAAGCCGCTGATGTGACATTGGACAGCCTGTGTTTGCTAGTGCCCAGCGTCCCTTGTAGAAAGTTGATCACACTGGGCCTCGTGCTTCAGTGTCTCGCAGCTCGGCCTGCTCCGTGACCCTCACTTACGTACGTCCTCCACCCTCCATGACCTCCTGGCGGGCAGGGAAGAGCATCAACACAGCCTGTCACTGGAGGGCCCTGCACCAGTGACCCTCACCAGACAACTGTTTTAGCTTTTATTGTTATACTAGTTTTTTTTTTTTTTAATTGAAAAAGAATTCCATGCACCCAATAAGATAGTCCAACAGTACAAAAGACCATGCTGAGGAAGGTCACCGGAACCCAGGGCCTCGGTTGTACCTTCTAGAGTCAGCCACGGTGAGCAGCTCCTTGCATGCTTTTCACAGAAATTTCCCAAGTCCAGGCATAAGTGAGGGGACAGCTTTAAAATTTCCAAAATATTATACCTGCAGCTCTGTCCCTTGCTTTTTTGCTTAACAGTGTTTCTGGGAATTGTTCCACATCAGTGTGTATAAGCCAACTTCTCTCCCTAGCAGCTCTGCTGCATCCCATTGTGTGAATAAACCACAATTCCTTTAGGAATTAGTAGCCTATCGACAAACACTTAGGTTTCCTAGTGCTTTATAGGGTAACAAGAATTCCATAATAAAATTCATGTGACTTATTTATTGCTCAGTTATTGATAACTATGAAACTGCAAGAGAATTCCCCCTCTCCTATTCTTTACCATAATTACAGTTCCTTGGGAGCCTTTGGAAGAAAGGATTTAGGTATTTTGAAGATCTTGTATGAAATATCATTCCCAAACCTCTTCATTCTCTTAATTAAAAGAAAAATATATAATATATAAATGTATATAAATATAATATAGAAATATATCTAAAATGTATTATATAATATATAATAATATATATTTATATATAATATATAGGCCTGTAGATATGTATTTATAGATATAAGGATACACCACCCATTGAGCACTGTGGGCTAAACATTTAGCATACATTACTTTATTTGGTGGCTTTCCAAAGAGTCTGTGCTTTCCTCTGTGTTAGCTTTTCTTATGGGCTCATGTCACAAGAGACCCAGGGAAACATCTCCTGGTGATTAAAGCTTTGGTCCCTTCAGTGCATGAGGATGGTGCGCCATGGGAGAGCAGGCGGAACCTCTACAAAAACTGGTCCTGAACTCAGGCCCCGTGAAACCTCTGCTACTGGAGGAAGCGTGGACCAAATACAGGCCAGCAGGCTGCTTCCTCTTGACAAAACCTGCCAAAGAGCCACAGGACTATCTCAAAAAATAGCTAGCACATCTCGGGACCCACAGGATAAATGTTTAAATGATGAGAAAAGCAGGTCTAACTGAACTATGTCATAGAGAGCAAATCCCTTAGAGAAGTCATCTTCAAGATCAGAGACAGCAGAAAACCAAGAACCACTAAAATTAAGCAAAACTTTATGCTTAAAGAAATCAAACAAAAGTTAAAAAAAAAAAAAAAGAGCATAGAGCATCTGTTTTGGGGTTGGGTCACACTCTGGGAAACTCCATAGATGAATCTACCATATTGGGGGTGGTTTGAAGACTAGAACTAAAGTCGCCAAGAAGAAAATCAGTGATGCTCAAAGATCAACTCAAACCCCAAATATGGCTAAATCAGGAAGAAAAGAAATGAATAACAGAGAGGGAAGATGGTCGGGTGGAAAGCATGCAACCCAGGCCTGTGTTTCCTGAGCTTACTGTGTTCACTGAAGCAGGTGTCCTGTGGGAGACAGACACCATTCCCCTCCGTGTTTTCCAGTAGGACTGTCCTAAAGGTCACATTTGAATTACTGACAGACTTCAAATGGAAAATTCTCAGATGGCAATCTTTGAAGCCAGAGAGAGCACTCACTCCGCAGACTGGCAAGAAGAAATTAGGTGGAAAAAAATCCTGCCAGCTAATAGCAGAGTGAGCAGAGAATTTGAAATATTAATCCTCTGAATTCCCTCTGAAGGTCAAAGGAAGCCATCTTTTAAAGAATCTCTTAAAAAAAAAAATCAGGAGCTTCACTAGACTTAAGATAAAAAGGCACAAATGCACTCCGACTGCAGCAAGATGAAATAGACGAACTCTAGATAGGGCAGAGGGGTGGGAGGGGAGGGAGGGGGCAGGGGCTTATTAATAATGATGGACTGTGAGGATCATTATTATCCAAAGCACAGGTATGAAGACACGGATTGGTGTGAATATACTGTGTATACAACCAGAGATATGAAGAATTGTGCTCTATATGTGTAATAAGAATCATAATGCATTCCACTGTCCTATATGAATTAAAAAAATAAATTTAAAAGAAGAATTTGAAGATTAAAAGAAAGAAAGAAAGAGTCGTCCTTCTCTAAGAAGAGACGTTAATAAAGACCCGCTCTCACTTGACCTGGGGACTGTGGCCATTGGCGACTCCTGTTCTGGCCAACCCAGGGTTCGGTACCAATCCATTCCTCACAGTGCAGGTGGCTGAGTCCCTTCAGGTCCTCTGAGAAGCAGGTGCTGAGACACCGTCAACATCTAGAAGCCTGATCAGAGGAAGTGCTACAAAAGAGTGAAAGGGCGAGCAGGAGTGGAGAGGAACGCCCCAGACCCCCACAGTCTGACCCTGTGGCAGGCGACAGGAAGGAAGGACCCAGGAGGAAGAGCCTGAGACCACAGGCAGCTCTGAGAACATCTTGGCCAGGCTGTGGCATGTCCCTGAGCAATGGCTGCCTGTTGAAGGAGCCCCAGGCAGAACAGGAATCACGCAGGCCCAGTACCTCTGCTGGGCTCAGTCACTGTCTGGGAGCAGGAAGGTGTGGACTCTGTGTCAACACCACAGTGGACCTGAGCTGCCATGTCCGTCTCCAGGGCCCCCAGCAGCAGGGTTTCTGGAAGGGAGATCTGACCACTGTTGGTCACCAGCAGTGTGCAGCCTGAGACACGGGGCTGAACTGAACAGCAGAAAAGATGAGATGTGGTGGACACAAAAACCTAGGATGTTCAAAAAAAAATTAGAACAACCTATCAAAGTCTCTGGGACACTGTGAAGGCAGTACTAAGAGGAAAGTTTATTGCATTGAGTACATTCATTAAAAGAATAAAAAGTCAACAAATAAATGACCTAATACTACATCTCAAAGCCCTAGAAAAAGAAGAACAAATCAACAACAAAAGCAGTAGAAGACAGGAAATAATTAAAATCAGAGCTGAAATCAAAACAATTGAAAAAACTGACAAAACAAAAAGTTGGTTTTTTGAGAAATAAAATAAAATAGATAAACCCCTGGCCATGCTAATGAAGAGAAAAAGAGAGAAAACTCAAATTACTAAAATACAAGATGAAGAAGAAAATATTACAATGGATATGTCTGAAATATGGAAAATAATTAGAAACTATTTTGAAAATTTATACTCCAATAAAATAAAAAATATTGAAGACATCGACAAATTTCTAGAGACATATGACCTACCCAAACTGAATAAGGAGGTCATACATGCTTTAAACAGGTCAATTTCAAGTAATGAAATAGAAAATGCCATCAAAAGCCTACCAACCAAGAAAGGCCCAGGACCAGATGGAGTCTCAGCTGAGTTCTACAAGACTCTCAAAGAAGAATTAACACCAATACTCCTCAAAGTATTCCATGAAATAGAAATGGAAGGAACCCTTTCAAACTCATTCTATGAGGCTAATATCACCCTGATACCCAAACCAGACAAAGATACATC